ATGACCATGCATAGATTGCCCTCATTTCTCAGCCAATCAACGCTGATGCCGTTTGGTGACTTATTAAACTGCCAATACAATTGTAAAATACTTTTATTATAAAGAAGATTTCATATCAAGTCAATTAAATGTTGTTTAAACGCCAGTCAACAAATAATACGAGGCTACTTGATTACAAAAACACCGGCGAGCAATAAGTATTGAGTAAAATAATAATTATAAACAATTGATGAGTAAAACTTAATTATTTTATACACTTAATATGTGTGTGTGTACGATTCTACCATTAGTTCGTGGGTACTACGCACACGTTACATCTAGATTGATGTCTTTGATCTGGCCGTCGTAAAAAAAAAATAATTACCTAATCATCATTCTTAATCCCACTAACAATCACTGCTAACACCGAGATGTAAATTAATTTATGACCCCCCAAGCCTGTATAACTTTAGTCGGATTGATTAATTAATGACAGATATTAACGACACTACTTGTCATATTATTATCAATACACAAAGATAGTTAGATGGCCCTTCTCAATCTGTTATTCCAGTTAGATGGTTACCAACAAAATTTATTTGTCCTGTTAATTCTAAAGTATATTGAGATATTTTCTTCGTATTTCATTTTTACGGTATATTTCAGAGTAATGAAGTCAAATCCGCCGTACGATGATAACGGATCGTCATTTACAAATCGCTTTTCAATCATGTTTGACTTTTATGATACATTTTGCATGACCACACTTTTTTACCCCTGTACTCTTTTACTCGGGGAAATTAGAACCACAATACTCTTTTGACGAAATGTATCTCGAATCGATTGGACTGCACACGATGTAAGAGGGTATTAAAATTGCTGTCGTTAGAAACGAGAGCGACCGTACAGTATGAAACAAATTCGAAACTGGATCTTAAATTAAAATGAATTACAAAACAAATTATTCCGTAGTCAATTGTTTTATTTATTTAGGGAGATTAAGGAATCGGTCAGGCGTTAATGAGTTCACACGCCGGCTGTATAAAGTTAATTAAAGAATAAACATTCCGAATATGCATTCGGTCACTGTGACGTCACCGGCGTCTAAGGGGATTAAGAGTGTTTTCGATAATTGGCTAAGTCGTTTTTACGGGAGGTCCATTTTTACGACTTTGAGTGAAGATAACTGAATCAATTTCAATCAGATTGGTGTGAACTTGCCGTAAAGTTGATATAGTAACCATTGGCTACACATATCCAACAGTTCTCAAGCCCATCTTATGTGCACTTTAAATTTTGCTTTAGATACGTAATATAAACGTTAAATATATATTTGCTAAATGCTATTTTGTCATTAATTAAATTTTGCTTTAAATTGTTCATGCGAGATGATTAGAATGTGTAATTTGACATTAGGTCGGATTATTATAAACAATAGGTTCTAACACTGTGTTAAATTTGACGTGTGTAAAAGTCACGTGACTTCAGTGATTAGTGATTGAAATTATATGTGTAATTAAAACCTAGGTATATTCTGATTGTCATGTTTATATAACTATAGACTAATGTTCCTATGGATGAAAGTGCACTCATTCACTTGGGATATTGTTCTAGATAAATTAAATAAAATTGTGTTTCGCGTCATACTGTAGGATAAAATGGACTGTCATTCATATACTGGCCATATTTGATTGACATTCTCGATAATGTCACACTAGTGTTGGAATAGGTAAAGGCCCTGCTTGTTTTAGACATTCAGTGGTGTACGATAACATTATATTTGTTTGGTTGACATTTAAAAAAGGGAAATAGTAGTCAAAACAGAAATTAGAATTGTAAATGGGTAGGTCAAAAAGGTCACATTACTGACTGAGAAATATAAAATAATACTGAAATTGTTTTGGCGTAATTCTAAAACACAAACGGAAATTATAAAACAAAAACGTAATTCTAAAATTGTCCATTACTCAGTTCAGGTCAAGAGGTCAAAATTAGTTTAATTTTAATTAAGAGTGAGTTACTTGTAAGTTTTCGAAATAATAATGTTAGACTAATATCAAAATAAAGTTTTAGAGATTTAGGAATAGTTAGTTCTTGGTCTGATGACAATGACATGTTTGATTGACGGATAAAATTGTACAAACCAATGATACTTAGAAGAAAAAAAGAAAAGTTTCAACTTGACACTATGGTAGCTGAAACAGACCAATAGAAATCTAAGAAGAGCAAATGGTTTACCAGTTTACCCAATTGAGATATCCTGAGACAGAATTTAAAGTGAAACCTGAACTTTATAAATATTACGTGATGTGTTATAGTGTTTTGAAATTAGGACACTTGAAGATTTAACAAAGTCAATATGTGTTTTCTGTGTTTAGGCTTAGTGAATTTTCGTAGGATTTTGAAGTACATTTGAACTTTTTGAAGAGCTTTTGCATGCAACTTTTGACTTTTGATTTTTGATTATTTGTGTTTTTATTTCATAGCCTTTTTTTAGTATAGTAACCATTTATAGTTGCCTGATGCGTGAATAATTAGTTAGAATATCTATATTTTATATATATTCTTAAAGGGGGAAGAATTGTAGCACTATCGTCGTTGCGACATTGTTTTTAAATTTATCGGCAAGGAATTGAATTCTTAGACAGCCGCGAGGCTGGCTAGGGTGGAGAAATGGTTTTAGCTAGTATTGTTATATATTATGCTTGTATCCATATATGTATTCGGCTATGCTGTATAAAATGTAGAAGCGAACTGTTGCATTGTTATTCATGGTAAGGCAAACGTCTTAAGAAAACAATAATAAGTAAATACACAACGTGAGGCAGAAGTAAAGACAGCTAGAGACAAATTCTAGACGATCACAAGGCTACAGAAATATGCAGTAAGAAAAAATGCATGGGTCGTACGTAGAATGTGGCGACCGGTTTTAGTGCGTGTCCGCTCTCCACGTCAGACAGAAGGCCTATGGTGCTACATTAGGCTATATTAGACCACTTTGAAGTTGCTGTTTTCACGGGCAGGAAAACTCGCCTGCAGCCGTCCAATTTTCCAAAATTGTCTTGGGGGTCCCTCACAGAAGACCGGTGCCGCCCTCTCTAACTCGAAATGTTTACGGGCATTTCGGGTTCTGCCCCCTAACTGCCACCGAGCCTGTACGCCTATGAGGTTAATCCCTTTAACCAGCTACTGGGAGTATGACTAATGGGGCATGACCTTTTAAATGGCTTTATTTTTTCAATCCATCATGTGACACTCTAATAAACATTATCGGCTTCCTCTTCTGGAATTAGGGGGGTTGGGTGGCTGAATGGTTAGCACGTGCGCGCTGTACCATAAAGTCTGTCATTGAGTCAACTGGCGTGTTTTCGAATCCCCGGTTGTACGTGGCAAGGAGTAGGGTCGCCTGTCCATCCTCGTGGGTTTTCTCCGGGTCCTCCGGTTTCCTCCCACTGCTAAAGACCCCTACGCGCAAGCGAATTATTGAAATAAAATTAAACCATGTGTTAGTCCCGAAATGACCTAGTTTGTGTCGAGTGAACGTTAAACCCCATTTCTCTCTCTCTTCTGGAATTAGACAGGTTTATTAAAGGAGATGACAGCGGGCAAACTACCTAGTTGACGAAACCAGGTCCGTCAATTCATATCAGCACAACAGCATATATTTTCTTCCTTCAAAACGGCCTAATTGTTGGGTACAAAATTTGTGAAATGTGAAATCAACCCAATTTGAACTATAATCCGCTAAGAAACATTCGGCCAACCCAAACCCAGTCTAATTATGATTTATAGACAGGGGCGGATCTAGGAATTTTGAAAGGGGGGGGGGCAAAATGAGGGCACTGACCGCGGAGACGGGGCACGCCGCTGAGACGGGATTTTTTTTTTCGGGGGGGGGGGGCAAGAAAATTATCTGCAGCCATTCCAAGAGCTATTTGGCTGATATTTTCGTCTAAGTAAACGTTCGGAAATCGTTGAAAAAGAGCCTTAAAATCGAGCAAAAAAGCCAGTTGAACATGCGACTCGAAAATTGTCAAGGCGAGCGAGGCATTATGATGGGAAAAAAGACGAATCTATTCCCTAGCCACTTCACTATTTAAGCCTCGTAACTGTCCACACATGAAAAAATGCTACATCAAGTGGGGATCGCGTGGCTAAGTGGGTAAGACGCTGGCTCGCTAGTCTGGAGGTCGGGTGTTCGATCCCTGCATTGGCCGCGAAAGTTCATCCAGATTTTCCGGCGTGGTTCCCCCTTGTCAGTGATGCAGGACGGAGGGCCTGACAAGGACAGCTGTCTAGTCCTTCGGATGAGACGAAAAACCGAGGTCCCGTGTATACATTGGAATGCACGTAAAAGATCCCTTGGCAGTTGGAATTCGATAGCACATAGCACTCATAGCACACTGTATGACGTATGCCCGTCTTCATTAGGCCAGTATAGGAGTAGAACAGTAGGACGTTAAACCCCATTTCATTTCATTTCAGCTACATCAAGTTGCACTCATGCGCGTCGGTGATGGGCATGAGTGTATACGCCGCTGATTCCACAAGATGTCTGTCTATAGTCACTCTATAGGATTAGGGCACTTTCAGCTAAACAACAAGAATTCGTTTGAAAGTGGAAGCATTAATTAGACCAGACTGGTGTGTTTGAATCGATGGTTTGAAACATTACGTTACGTTAATTCTGATGGTCAATCAATTAAACTTTTTAAACGTGTAAGAAAATCTCGTCCACTGCATTACATATAGCGTGTACTTGACTAACCTTGAATTGGTCTTGCATCAAAAGAGACTCAACACATCATCTTGGAACTAATATCTTGTTTTTGATCGACAATTTGCCACGGTCATTGACGTGTTTTAACAGTGGCAGTAGACTGAAGACAAAACGGGAAGTAGACATGACTAAACATGTCACTGAAACCAGGACAATTGCATCGGTGGCAAAACCCGATGATCTTATCTACATGCGTGACAATCTAGCCCAATTTCGTACAAAGAATCACGACTCCATTGAAGACAAAGTGGTATACACAATTTGTATTGGTTTGTTGTATTAATATCATATACCAATTTTTAGATTTCTGTAAAACTAGGAATTATTTCTGCTTGGTTAACACAACTTTTCTGCTGACATATCCTTCCATCAAATAATACCATTAAATTTACAAACAATAATTCCTGGTTTTACGTTTAGCAGCATTTTTTTTTCTTAAAACGACTACGGGTCTGAAAAATAAAAGAAAGCTGGTTCGTTTTTGTCTGTTAAATATCCTCTCACAGTCTCACATAACAACGTTTGGTCTTCGAGGGAATTATTAGTGAGCAGAAATTCGCCCGTATATCCGTTATCACTCGTCACATCAGTCAGTTATATAGAGAGACGAACTCTGTGTTAAAATTATATTTGGAATGTGTTTAACCAGCTCTATCACATATGTGATAATGACTGGCACAAATATTGTCCTTTAAATGTTTCGTCAACAACACAACAAAGTATGTTATATCAATGAAAACAAAGCTGTTATTTACGTGATCCCACACGGCCTGACTGACTTACCTTTATAGACATAGGTGAGTCTAAAACCTATCGGGCATGTTTCAGCGTCCATGTCACTCAAAAAACGTACTATTGTTCCTTTACCTGTAGGTATGGTAATAGGTTCCGGGGCCACGTCTCCACAATATCTGTAATAAAACCCACTATTGTGATCAGAGAATATATAGATATGTAATTAGATGGTGTCTCGACTATGTTGGCGGATGAAGGAAAGTGGGTTAGATATGAAGTAAATCTCCTACCTTGTTCCTTCTATCTCCACATAATCTTCCATACAATCGTTTCTTAGAGTATCATTACAATTACCATTCGTAGTTTCAATACTAAAATCTTCATCAAATGTAAGGACAAGATCTTTCTCTGGAAAACCAGGTAGTGTGAAAAATATGTTCTCTTTCTCACGGTATTTACCGCCTGATGTTAATATTGGTGGAACTTTAACATTAATAAATCATTCTATTAAATGATGACACCAATACATTATGTTAATACCTAGCATTTACCTGTTTACCTGTTGTAATACAATTACATATATAATTATATATGACGGAAAATCACAGGAAGATGCGGGTGGGGTGAGTATTGCGTCATAAACATCACAGAGATGGATCTAGGATCAATCCAACGGAATTCATTTTATAGCAATTGACCCATCCTATGTTGATAATAAACATTCGACTAGCATTGTTTAATCTCGGGGGATGGGGGGGGGGGGGGGGTGGATGGCCGAATGGTTAGCACGTGCGCGCTGTATCATGAGGCCTGTCATTGGTTCGAATCCCCGCTTGTATGTGACAAGGAGTAGGGTTGCCTGTCCAACCTCGTGGGTTTTCTCCGGGTCCTCCGGTTTCCTCCCACTGCTAAAAAAGATCCAAACGCGCAAGCGAATAATTGAAATAAAATTAACCCATATGTTACTCCCAAAATGAACTAGTCTGTGTCGAGTGGACGTTAAACCCCATTTCTCTCTCTCTGTTTAATCTCGATGACAGGGGAATTAACTCTATAAATTCTATGTGAGCTTTGAACTTTAACAGCATATTTACAGAAAAAGTCACTTGTGAATTATTTAAGTCATTGGAAATATAAATTGTTTTTACTCACATTCACAATTAGTTCCCTTAAAACCTGCCATACAATTACAGGTTTGTTCTGAAGTGGGCGTTCCTCCGTTTTTACAAGGATTTGAATCTGGTACAGCGTCTATATAAAATATATAAAAGATTCCATGTTAAATAAACACCAACAACTGATATTAACAATTTATGCCAAAATAAAATATATTTACATGTATACACACGAGAGAGAATTATATATCATGTTTATGCATGTGGAATATCTCCAACTCATACAAAGGGATATCTATCACTGCCCAATGTGAGGTCATTGATACCATTATAGTAACATTAACCTTCTAGCGTACTCAAATATCGTTCTATTTACGTTTGATTAATTTTATATAAAAACATTAAATAAACTAAATGTTGATGTTGTAATTAATTTTATTTAGTACTCACCTATATATTGATAGGTAAAAATATAACCTCCAGCACCTGCGAAGTTGTTGGTAACAAGGCGTACTTGGGTACCAGCACCAGGTGAAAGCGTGATGTCTGCTGGAGCCGTAAAGCCTGTATATCTACACAAACAAAAAGTATTAAAATACAGGTGTCTTAAAGCGACAATAAGGCAGTATTAGAATCTACCACAAGACCATGTTCAAACAAATTCCGCCATGCTAGTACCTTTCTATCTCACCTAGTCCAAATTTGATATTTTGAATTCTTTGAAATTCAACCTATACGAATTGGGACAACCATAGGACGTTAAACCCCAATTAATGTCATGTCTTTTTATGTATAAAAATGTCATATCGGATCTAGAAGCTGTGAATGCGGGGGGGGGGGCGGTTCCAAATCTAGGGCAACATCCACAATCCCACCACACAATACTCGCTATAACACAGACTCTCAGTAAAATATAGATCGTATTGCCTATATAGTTGTGTTTGTCAATCCCACCACACTATACTCGCTATAACACAAGACTCTCAGTAAAATATAGATCGTATTGCCTATATAGTTGTGTTTGTCAATCGTTATCTGGCCGTTCGCAGCTTTAATCATGTTGATATAAATTTCATGTCATATTATGATTGTTAGTGCTTTTGTTGACATTTTTTATTTTTTATGAACCTTAGGACGTTTATTTGGTAGCATGTGAGGGGGGACCCTCCCCCCTTAAATCCGCTTGTGAAGACCAGATTTTTGTTTGGGGTCTTTAGTTAAATCTATACAACGAGTAGTAAATGTTGTAGGAGTAAATGTTGGGATGGGGTGTATACGTACCGTGTGCCTCCAATCTCTAGGTAATCAGGAGCACCTATGAATGAAATGAATGAAATGGTGATGTTTTTACCTGGAACTCCAGGTATATTGGTTGTTACATTCAGATTTTTGCCATATGACTTTCCAGGTGTAATGATTGACCTTTCTAGAGTAAATAAAAATATATTTATGTTAAACTAGAGCTGTTATCGATGCACTTCTACAGACGAAACAAGAACTTGGAATTGTTTTGTGTCGCTTTCATAATTGGTCTTACATTTTCAACTCGTGCATTCAACTCTGAACCTTTATATCAACACTGTTATGTTACTTTAATGTTTAATCCCAATCTAGTTGGGTGGACACAGGTATCGTGGATCGTTTTCCCGTGTCAGTTGTTTATAAAGCAATAAACTACACCCGGCTCTCCCTCTTTTATCATGCGGTTAACTTAACTTGTTAAACAACTTCATAATAAAAATAGACAAATGACATTGTCAGCATTCGGCAGGCGTAATCTAAGTTCTAACTGTTAACTCACCTGTGCAGCCACTGAAACTCGGAATTGACAGAATCGCTTTAACACAACTACATGTGTATCCACCAGGTGCAAGGATTGGTACACAAGGTGTTGTTTCACCAGGACAGTCTGTTATTTCACATACATTGACTGGAAGTAGCACAATACGAGATAAACATGATTTTATTTTACATAGATTCGTTAAACTGGCCATATACAACAGTAACCGATTGTACAATGACCAGATATTGAACATAATTTCAAATAACAACCACTTACCAGTACAATTATCTCCATCGTAACCAGGGATACATTTACAAATACCTGATATACACTGACCGTTATTGACACATGTGATATTCTCACAAAGATCGACTGAAATAAATAACAAAAGTTACGTTAAACATGGGCACTACTGTCAACAAATAAGATATTTTGACAAATCACACATCAGTTCTAACATCTTGTAGATGAAGTTGGTGTCTGACAGCTGTCATATTCATGGGCCACACTTGGTGTGACTTGAAGTATGTGAGGACGGGGTCTTACCATAGGCGTACGGGCTCGATGACAGTTAGGGGGGCAGAACCCGAAATGCCCGAAAAAAAATTCTGCTTTACAGACAGCGGCGCCGGTCTTCTGCGAGAGGCGAATGAGCGGAGCTTTAATAGTAGTTTATTAGATTTCGGTCACTTATTTAGCCAACTAGATGAAATAAAAAATTTTTTTTTCACTTTACCCGTCTGTCCGAAAAGTCAATTACAAACCATCTTGCGTGCACAAGGTGGGATATGCTGACTGTTTTGTGGGATGTTTCCTGGTAAAGTTGACGTATTATTATTTCACTTACGTGTCTTTCAACTTCATCATCCATTATGAGGCATAGTTGTATATTTAATTAGTATTATTATTAAAAACATACCTGGTTCTAGCTTAGTTCCACAATCTTCTCCACTGAACATTGGAGGGCAATCACATATACCATTGTTACATGTTGCATTGTTCAAACATATGTTGTTACAAGAATCAACTAGAAATATACAATAGTAACAGTTACTATATCTTGTGTAATTGATTGTGTTTAGTGCGGTCTTCCTACAGCAGACTATTTTGTGAAGCAGTTTGTTGGTTTGTTATCCTCTCTTTACATCTGAACAAGATACCGGTGTATACGATGCCCACCTGATACATTTGCTTAAAAATTTATAGAAACATTTGATATTATTACATATATGACGTCACTTTTAATCAAAATACTAGAAATGGATATGCTAATATGACGTCACTTTTGATATAAATATATATATATATGTATATACTAATATGACGTCACTATTAATAAATACACTAATATCTGTAATTAATGAAAAGGTTTACCGCCACAATCTGGTCCAGAATATCCAAATGTGCATTCACATATGCCTCTTATACATTTACCTCCACTAAGACATTTAACGGCATCACAGGGGTCTGTAACATATAATATATTCACAAATAATAATCACAGGGGTCTGAATCATAACCACAGGTTTCGATAAGGTATTTTAATATTATAAGATCAGAAGACGGACATACGCAATAATTTAAGGAGTATTTTGACTGAACAGCTGTGATGCTAGACCCTACAATTATTTAGATCTCCAACTGTCATGCTAGCTCGGTTTTGCATTCTATTCGCACGACTATTCAGTTGTCCTTGCCAGGTTGTCCGTCCTGTTTAATCGACAATGGTGGAGACCAGACCAATACCGGGATTGAACCGTTGCCATATTGGATAGAGAGCCAACTCCCTACTCACTAAGCCACTGTGGGTCCCCAACAAACTGACACTAGCAGGGTATTTGGTAAGCCAAATTGGATCTCCAACACATTGCCACTAGCAGGGTATTTTGTAAGCCATCGTGGTTCTCCACCAAATTGACACTTGCACTGTATTTGGTATGTCATCGTTGTCCTCCAACAAACTGACACTAGCAGGTATATGGCAAGCTTTATCGGGTCTCAAACAAATTGACACTAACAGGGTACTGTTTGTAAGCCATAGTGGTTCTCCAACAAATTGACACTAGCAGGCTATATTGTAAGTTATTGTGGTTTTCCAACAAAGGGTATTTGGTAAGTCATCGGAAACATTAGGGTATTGGATACACGAGTATGAATTCAAAGGTTATTGGATATACGAGTATGAGTTCAAAGGGTATTGGATGCACGAGTATAAGTTCAAAATATATCAATGATAAATTATGTAGAATTGCAAAAGTACTGCAAGCTCGTGCATGGTACTCCGAGCGGGGTTATTGCAAAGTAAATATCGCTTCTGTATGCCCAAACCGCATGTTAAAAAGCATTCATCATAGTTAGATCGTGTTCCACAATTACCATCAACTGCAGACACAGTTACTTTACCATGGAAACAACTTTTTCCTCGCCCTTTAAATGACAGTTACTTTGCAACGGGCAAGCCATAGGGACAGCGAATTTGACCCGTCCGCACTCTCAATTTGATTCGATATTTTATATACCCTACCTGGACAAGGACATTGATTACAGTACCGTTCTTCTTGGTTTCTACCAATGCAGCGACGTCCATGATACTCCGGGGCGGGGTTATTGCAAACTCTATATCGCTTCTGTATGCCAAAACCACATGTTAAAGAGCATTCGTTATAATTAGACCAAGTTCCCCAATTACCATCAACTGCAAGAAAACAAATAATAATAACAAAACCAAATACGAACAATCCAAACCATTTGACAAAATTCAAAGCCCTAAAAACAATACAGGCAAAATAGTGTAATCAGCAATCAGACTCCTCGCCGTGTACAAAATACACGATGAACAGTGGTAACAGATGTCCGGAAGAGTAAGCTTACCCTGCCTGGCGCTACATCAGACATAGCTGCACCCAAACCATTAGATGAAGCCTCGGCACAATAGCGTTTGTGGCATTATATTAGATCAAAGTACACATGAAAACCACGCTTGAGAAACTTTCTCAGTAGGAGATTCTAAACCTTCTGGCTAACGGGCCAGCCCTCCTATCCACTGAGATACCACGGCGCCATTAGTAATGGGAGGATAAACCCGTGTACATAATTGTCTGACTGATTCAATCTCACAAACCAACTAAAGTACCAGCCTTTGGTTTTTAATTTGAAAGAGCTGATTATCTACTCTTTCCAGTTGTCAATTACTGGGCCCGCTTCCGTCAGTGACGTCCCGAAAGCAATCTTCAAATTATTAAGGCTTTTCAACGGGGCCCTCAGAATATAGAAATAGGTGATAACCACCGTTATGAAAATAATAATAGCAATAATATTCTCACCTGGCTGACAATGTCGTCGGGATGGCCAATTGCTTCCTCTTCCTCCTCGTTTGCTCCATCCTCGCCCCCTTCCGCGTTCGCCCCACCCACCCTGTCCCGGTCCGTCTCCTCCCCACCCTCCTCGTTCCTTTCGTCCTCTCTGATCCCGTCTCCGTCTACGACGATGGGCATCAGCAACCACAATACACATAATCGCTATCAGTATTACGACCAACGTCAAACGCATGTTGAAAGCTTTAACAGTTTCTCTGATAAACTGAAAGCTGTGTAAAGAACAGCGACGTGGTTCCCTCTTTTAAACATTTTCACATATCACCAGATGTTATTATTTACTGTTCGTCTACTTCCGCCATTAAAATAGAAGGAAGTAAAACAGGGAAATAAATCTGATCATGGCGTAACCTTTTTTGATTGGTTATATTTTTAGAAATGTTCAAAAACAAATTATCAACGATGTATTATAAAACAAAAATGCCTTCTACTTACCCTTGGTAAGATGCAGGACTTTCTGTGCCTAAGGCATCTTGGTAGCAGCCTAGTTAAATTGAAGATTGGATTGGCCAGAGACCGGAAGCATTATAGGAGATTTCTATAAAACCATGTGTGTCCCGTGTTCGATCCCTGCATTGACCAAGACATTTGATTGGGATTTTCTGTCCTCTTCCCCATTGTCAGTGGTGTAGATTAGAGGGGACCGTGTACACACAAGAGTGCAAGTAAAAACTTACTATATGGCTTGTCCCCGTCATTATAATCTTTATAAGCTCGGTCGGAACAGAACAGCAGGCCGCTAAACTCGATTTCATTTTAAATTATTCAAATTGTTGGCGCAAATTGTCCCTTCTTAATACATATTAGGGTATAGGCATACAGTTAACCCTTTAGGTCCAGACCCTAGTTCACAAAGCATTCTCAGACTTAAGTGAAGAATTTACATAAAATGGTTCGCATTATTTTAATTAAAATATACCCCTTTAAAACTTTTGTTGTTTTAATGTATCAAATACATCAATAAGAAACTGTGTGCAAAGTTATTTGTTTCTGGATCAAAGATGTTTCTCGTAAAAAGTGACTTAAAGTTAAGTAAATTCGTAACTTAAACATACATTATGCAAGAGCGAAATCTGCATATTGCAGGTCTTTCTTAAGGCCTGAAATGCTATTTAAATTATTAATCAGACATTAATTAACTTATCCAGACCATAACCAACTCTCGATGTCATCGCTAACCTGTGAAATTTACTGGATTAGGACCCGATTTGCTGCTCAACTTTCATTCATGATTTAATCAAGAAATGAATAATCAAGACTATGTTTTATATCGTACCGACTATAGTAATGATGATCGGGGCTAGACTTCTCGCTTCAGAGTGGATCAATTTGACTGAAATTGTCAACAAATTTACATTAACGAGTTTTTAACTCTTAACTGCCAACTTTTTATCTGATCTCCTATTAAAATGTATCTTTAAGTCTGAGAATGATTTGTGAACTCTCATTGGTTAAAATAAATTCCATGAAACAAACGTGGAATACTATAAAGCAGAGCTGGAAATGGCCTTTAATTTGCAAAGCTACGCGTGCGTAGGAACAAAATATCATTTTGAATACATAAAAGGCGTGGGTTGGATCCATACTAAACTTAAGCTGTCTGTCTACTGTTAATTCGCTTGAGAATAGTCACTAAGCTAGTTGACCGACATTTTAATTCCTACATCTACAATTTTATTCGAAAACATTAAATATATTTTGACGATTTTAAGAAGTATATATCCCGCTTTCATTTAATAAATTGAAAAGGTTTAATTAGTCTTTTTGTGTTTAAAAGACGTGAACAGGAGTAGGACCCCATTACAATACAGTATAATGATTTTTAATATGGCCGCCATTTAGGGCAGAGGACTATTCTCGAAGTAGAAGAAGTAAATTCTCTGTGTGAAGTTACTTGCTACATCTAGTTGCGGAAATAAAATGAATATATTAAAGTTATAGATATGTTTTATTTATTGATTTATTCGCATGGCTGCCATCTTGCATATGAAAATCAAATTTTATAACCATCGTGAATTAACTCACCAGGAAACAGAATGGAAAAATAAAATTGATCAAAGTTATAGATATCTCTAAATTCATTGATTTATTCGAATGGCTGTCATCTTTCATATGATAATTAAATTTTATCAGCATAGTTGATTACGTTACCGGGAAACCGAATACAACAATAAAATTGATCAAAGTTATGTATATGTTTAATTCATTGAATTATTCAGATGGCTGCCATCTTGCATATGGCTATTAAAGTCTATACATATGGTGGGTTACGTTACCAGGAAACAGAAAGGGATAATAAAACGCCCTCTTCCACCGAGGTGAAATCGCAGGCAATTAATTACATGTTATATGTACAGAGTGAAATTATTTACAAGGTAAAGATTTTGCACAACAGCGTAGAAACACCAAATAATTTCTAGTATTATAAAGTGTAGTATTATCGTTCCAAAATATATCCAAAGCAGCAATAAAACCATTGTTCTCTCCATCAAAGAAGTATGTTTTCACTTAAATAACAAGAATATGGTGAATATTTTGAAGTGAAAACATAATCTTGGTAATTGAGTGGGGGTTTGGCTTGCGAGCCCTTTCTCTGCAACACGTTACTTTGGCCCATGGTTCACCTAGACGGGATGTCAGAGTGGCCCACTTTGATCAATCGGCTTTGGTCTATGTAGCTCTGTTGGATGTGCATTTCTCTTTTTTTGCTATGTTATTTTTGATATTCAGCAAGTTTACCTTTGTGTCCTGTGTACACATAATGGCTAATGCCCCCGTCAGACCGGGTGGCGTTCTTACTGTGCTGCTGCGACTAGAAAATGCACAAGGTCGCCGGCAAACGTAAACACAACGCGAGAAAATGTCCCAAAAAATTTTCAAACTTGAAAGAAGTCGCGTTCTTTACCCCGTCAGACCGGGGTGGCACCTTTACTGCGCTGCTACGGCGACGGAGCGTGTCAAGATCGCCATAAGCGTGGTGCAAACGCAAGATATCGCGCTGTGGTCTCGATGGTCGCCGAGTTACGGCGTTTGTTTTGAGCATGTTCAAAACAAACGCCAAGGTTCTGCGATCTGCCCTGGAAAGAAGTGAAAACGCAAATTTTTTTTCAAGTTTGTAATATTTTGGGACATTTTCGTACGTTGTGTTCACGTTTTCCGACGACATGCTTAATACAAACGCGGTGACTAGGCGATCATTCACGACCATGGAGACCACAGCACAACATCTGGCGTTTCCACCACGCTTTTACCGCGCTTATGGCGATCTTGACGCGCTCTGCGGTCATTTTCCGTCGCCGTAGCGTCGCAGTAAGGTCGCCACCCCAGTCTGACGTGGGTATTAGGGTCACCTCCCTCGCCTTGTCCTGAAGCTGTCAATCTTGATTCCAGTTCCACTGGTTCAGGGTTGCAGGACGAAAAAGGAAGGTCTCGTGTACACATCTACGTGCACGTAATCGATATAAGATTAGACCGTAGCGTTGATGTCCGGGCAAAATGTCCCTCTAGCACACTGTATGGCGTATGCCCGTCTTCATTAGCCCAGTCGGAGCAGAACAGTAGGAAGTTAAACCCATTTCATTTTTTTGTATTATGTAAGATCTAGATAAAGATCTCACAGTTCTCGCTATAATAATTCAGAACTAGCCAATAGAAAGGAAATATCTTGTCAATTTCAGTCAAATTACTCCATTCTGAGCGACGTTATGGGTTATTTGTCTCGATTGTCATTGCTACCGAACCTCGTGGGTTTTCTCCGGGTCCTCCGGTTTCCTCCCACTGCTAAAGACCCTACGCGCAAGCGAATTATTGAAATAAAATTAAACCATATGTTAGTCCCGAAATGACCTAGTTTGTGTCGAGTGGACGTTAAACCTCATTTCTCTCTCTCTCTCTCTCTCATTGCTACCGCTATTAAGAAAGTCTCGATTATCCGTTTTTAAATAAATCATTCTCCGTTGTTATGATGGCACACAATTTCGCGATTAATAATTAAATCATTAACAGCTATTCGTGTTTAAATCCGTTAATAATCGTGAGCATCCGATGACATAGAGTGTAGATTATGGTCTTGGCAAGTTAATAAATGCCTAAATAATAAATTTCTATAACATTTAAAGCATCCAAATGTTCTCTATATTATCATAAATATGATTATATCACAAGTATGTCATGGATTATATAGTAATACGTTATCAACATGACTGATATAAAACATCAGATATCTATAAATATCACAATTATACCATGTATTCTAATAGTAACACGTTATCATCACGACTGATAAAAAACATTTGATATCCATATTATATTATAAATTATAATACTTTATCAACACGACTGATATACGTGAATATCATCAGCACGCACTTTGTAGTTAGATATCTTTAGACCTCGACTATTTATTAATTATCTGTTATGATGCTTGGTTTAGTCATAAATATAATTTCTAAGAAACTGTAGTAAGTTTATGCATGTACAGTTAACAGCTCATATACTATACTCATTGCACTGTGCGAGAAGATGACAGACGTGGTTTTCGTTGTGATTTAGAAGTTTTGACGATAATTTCCGAGAATCTGTAGCAAGGTTGTGCGTGTACAGTCTACAGTCCGAGGAAGATAAACTGTGCGAGACGATGACAGACATGGTTTTCTATGTGATTTAGAAGTTTTGCCTAGAATTTCTGAGAAACTGTAGCAATTTACCCGTGGATTCACTGTGCAAGACGATGACGGACGTGGTTTTCTATTGGATTTAGACGTTTTGGCTAAATTAACTACTTCGGATTTTAGGTCACCTGTCTCGATGTCATATAATATATTCTCCTAATTTTGTAATTTTGTCCAGTTTCAACTCGTATTTTATACAATCAGTGTAACACACAGTTATTCAAAATGGCCGACGAGGTACTGTGTAGTATTTGTTTAAATGACTCTCAAGAATCTATAATAATCGACTGTAAGCATTCGTTCTGTTTCATCTGTTTAGAAGATTATGTGAACAAAACCTCAGTTAAAGATCAGTTCCAATGCCCAGTATGCCGTAGTTTTATAAATCTAAGTGACGGTGGTCTGGATCGATTTAGACCCAAATCAATTAATATTCCACAATGTGATGTATGTGCTGAAGATACATGTCAATATTTCTGTCGAGACTGTGATCAATATTTATGTAAATCATGTAAAACCATGCATAATAAGTTAAAATCTTGTAAAGACCATATTG